TTGGGGATCTGAGGTGGTAAATCAGAAAACTCACTTTATGTTTCCTCCATGGACACTGAAGAATCCTCATGAGACCATCCTCACAATGGACAAGACAACTAGTGTGGCAGGAAAAAGCATAAAATGTAAAAAACAGGTTAATCTGGGGAATCTGTGAGATTCTCCTATTCCTTAGAAATCCTAGAATGAGGATGAAAACCCGGGTAGGATGAAGCAGAGGGAGTGGAACACCGACTTTTATTCCTGACCTGGGTGGAAGTGAATGACACAGAAAAGCAGAATCACATAACTGAAAATGTTCTCAGACCAGAAACAAGACTGAGAGAAACTCGTGGTTCTCAAACAGGCTCCTGGTCTAAAGAACCCGGTGACGTGTGAGGTCAGGGACTGTCTGTCTTTCTCAGGAGAGACGGGACCCTTCACTGTCCTTCAGGAGAAGCCGGAGTCTCTGGGAGTCTCTCGTGCAGACATGAAACCCAGGGGAGTCCCCCTCGGGACTAGAGAGAGGACTCATTTCCCGCAGTGACTCCAGGCAGGGGGGGACGGGAGGCCTCCAGGCCCTCTTACCCGTGCGCTGCAGTGTCTCCTTCCCGTACTCCAGGAATCTGCGCAGCCACTCCACGCACCTGACCCCCACATAGTTCCTGAAGTGCTCTGCCACACCCTGGGCCTCCCACTCTCGCCAGGTGATCTGAACAGCCGTGTCCGCTGCGGTCCAGGAGCGCAGGTCCTCGTTCAGGGCGATGTAATCGGCACCATCATAGGGGAACTGGCTGTATCCCCGGAGGAGGAGCCCTCGGGCCCCACGTCACAGCCAGACATCCTCTGGAAGGTGTGAGAGCCTGTCCCCTCCCGCGTCACCCTGAGATTACCCTGCCTGCACCCACCCTGAATAAACTAAACAACGAATGAAACCGGGTGAAAAGTCCCGCCTGACTGTTCCCTGGGACCTGGGCAGGTTGCGGAGAAGCCTGGAGGGGGAGACCCTGAGCGACGCCCCCCCCCCGTCCGTGGGGATGGGGGTGCTGACCTGGCCCGGACCCGCACCAAGCTCACCGGTCTCACTCTGGTTGTAGAGGCCGCGCAGGGTGTCCAGCTGCGCTCGGAACCTCAGTGTGTTGTCCCTTTGGTGCTGCTTCTCCTCGTCCTGCTCCTCCTGCCAGACCTGCTCCATCCAGGGCGCCCGCGTCTCCACACTCTGGCCCTGGGAGAGTCGCTGTTGAACCGCCGAACTGCGTGTCGTCCACGTACCCCACGGCGATGAAGCGGGGCTGACCGCGGACCAGGCCGGGACATCGCGGTGTTGAAAAGCCTCATGGAGTGGGGGCCTGGGGGGCGGGAGGGGAGACCCCGGCTATTCTTCTCCCCTTCAGGGGCTCGAGTCCCAAGGGGCGCCCACGAGACAGAAAGCGGTGAAAGATGAGTGAGAGTGAAAAGCGGCTGCGGGACGAACATGGCCGGGACTCGGGGGCCAGAGGAGGCTGGGTTTCGGGGGGACGAGAAAGGGGCCAGGACGGGGCGGGGCCGAGGTGGGGGGACAACTAGGGCGGCGGCGAGGTCGCGCCTTTCCCACGCCCGCCCGCGCCCTCGCCCCGCCTCTGGGAGCCCTGTCCCCTCCGACCCCGCACTCACCCGCCCGCCGGTCTCCCTCGGCCGCGGCCCCCGCGAGCAGGAGCAGAGGAGGGCTGCGCCCCGCATCCCCCAGACGCGCCCCCACCCGGCTGGGGAGACGGAGTCCCGGCGGCTGGGCGGGCGGGGGCTTTGGAACGGGAGCCGCGGGCTGCTGATTGGCTGCTCTGGAGACCTCCAGGCAATGGGGAGTGAGCCCTGGGGTGAGTCACCAGTATCCAGGCAGGAGGACCCGCCCAGGTTGTGAGAAGTGAAACTGGGGAGATGAGGAAACCCCAACAGTCACCTTCCAGCCCCAGACAGCGCCCTGGGGACTGAGACTTTGAGAGCCACACCCCGAGACCCTCCTCTCCTGCACCGTCTCCTGAGTCACACCGTCTCCCGAGTCCAGGCCCAGGAACCGGGTCCAGCGATTCTCAAACCTTTTTCTTTCAGGATGTCTCTACAGTCTCACAAATTAAGGATCCCATGTATAATTTTATGGGCTATACCGTTAAACATTTACTTTACTAGAATAAAGGCGCTTTTAAGATGGAATTACTTCTTTACTTTTAGAATATTAATAACCAATGTATGCTAACAAAGCATTTTTAAGAAAATAACTAAGTTTTACCTTAGCAAATGCCAAAATTAGTGAAAGGCAAATGGTGTCTAAGTGATGTTATAAAAATAGTTTTGACCTCCTGGATCCCGGAAAAGGTTCTCGGTGACCTCAAGGATTCCACAGACCGACTCTGGAATGCTTCTCAGTGAACCAGGGAGAGTCTCCCAAGTGTCCTCTGCCAGCATCCATCTCCTTGGTTGGATTTCCTATTTCCAAAGTTTTTCTTAGAGTTTGCCCCTGTACTCCCTGGAAGAGAACTCATTTCAGAGATGATGAGAGAGAGTCTTCAGTCTGAGAAGGGAGTTGGAGAGACAGGTGCTTCCCTTTGGAACTGGGACAGTTTAAGTCCGAGGCACCAGACCCACTGATAATCTTTGATTTTGTTTTTCACCTGCTTAGTATGTATTTCCATCCAGGACCTCACCTCCTCTTAAGAGAGATAATATTGGCCCCTTGACTTTACATGTGTTTAATGCATTTGACTTGATGCTCCCAAAGCATGAAGAGCTGTGCTGTCAAACAAAATGTCTGGAAGAAAAAATGTTCTATATATGTACTGACCAATATGGTGCCTCTAACTATTGAACACTGAAATGTGGCTCATGAGCTGAGATGTTGCATATTTAACTATGTATCATTTAAATTAAAAAGCCATATGTGACTAGTACTACCATATAGACAGTACATATCTAGAATGTCTCTAGCTTTCAGTATCTGCCCCCCAATACTTTGTTGTATAATAAAATAGTATAATAAAAATAATGTATAATAAAATTATCTTCTTGTGGAAATCATGAATTTTCTACAGGGTTTAAGTATATCCTTAAAATTATGGCATGTCCAAATAGTTTAATTAACATGTATTTTAACAACAGAGAGAGAGGTGCAATCCCAAATCTGAATACAAACTCTGTCAAATCCCTGAATGACCACTAAACTGTGCTGAGGTGTGGGACACTCAAGAGAAACTGCTGGAAACCAGAAAGAACTTAGAGGGCGTTGTACCCTTGAGTGACAGACTCATCCTGGTGCAATCTGTGATTCTGCACCTATGACTCATGACTTCCCCGATCCACACAAGCTCAGAGAACCAGAAAGAAAAATCTTACTGACTTGAGAATCAAACATCAGATTTCGTGGCAGCCTTTGGGTATTTGAGGACACCAGGAATAAGATAACCAACAAGGTGAGTGAATGCCAACATCTGGGTAGACACTGTCCAAAACCTTAGTTGACCATTGAATCGCATGGAGACAAAAACCTGGGTTGACCATTGAATCACATGGAGACAAGTCAAACCCTTCAAGACCTAGGATGAAAATGCAGCAAGTAGAGACTGAAGCAACAGAGCAGAAGCCCAGCTGTGCACACTGCAGGGGCAGATTTCGCCTGGTTCAGGCAAATGTCCAACTTCATGGGGCAAAGAAAAGGAATCCCCAGAAAAATAAGAGTCCAGATGTGTTTAAATCTTATATCTTTCACGTATTTAGATTTAAGCCTGTTTTCTTCATGGTGCTTGTTTGAATAAAGCCTGACTATTCCTCTACAAGGTATGGCATAATTTTCTTTCTTTGACAAAAGGATATAAATATTTAGTGGCCAGATTGATAGACAGTAGAAGTTTTTCAAATCTTCACAGTGTTTTTATATACTCAAGAGGTCAAGACCAATTTCCCTCCTGTGATCCCCGGACTTGCTGGCTCCCTGCTCATGAGGAGGTGGGTGCCTTTGTTACTTCACAGGAGGCTCAAAAGGCTCCACGATCTCCTGCTTGATCTCTCCTGCTCCTCTCTGGGGAAGACATTTGCTGTGCTGCGTGTGGCACTCAGATAAGGAGATGCTCACATGGTGAGGAACTGAAGCTTTTCTAGCAGCCACATGGATGAGTCTTTATGAAGATCCTTCCATGTCCATCAAGCCTTTTCTTCGGCCTGACATCGTGATTGCAGCCTCGTGAGACCCCGAGCTGGAACCACCACTGGGGTACAGGCCAGAGGTGTGGAGGGTGAGAGGATTCACCAGAGACAGAGTGGGGAACAGAACAGGGAGACTGACTGAAATACACTGCTGAGGGCAGCAGTGGGCAAGACAGGAGAGGTCTGCTGTGCCATGTGGGTAGTTTCCTGGCCGGGGATCAAACTTGTGCTGCAGAGGCTGTGGAGAGCTTCATAGGTTGTATCTTAAACCCTTGCACAACCAGGGAGGCCCATAAATAATAAAATCTTAAACAACAAAAGAAGTCTGGAAAAAGAAGTTATGAGTGTGGAAGACCTGGGCTTGGTTCCTAGGTCTGTGTCATGCTAAATATGGGAACTGTTCCACTCTTACCTGTAAAATGGGCTAAACAGAGTCTTGGTTGTCTGCCTCACACAGGTGATAAGAGGATTATGCTTAAACTTACAGTAATGTAGAGTGAACTATATATTGCTTATAAGAAATGAAGTTTCAATATAAAGACACATTGAAAATAAATTTATGGAAAAAAGATAATCTATGATGATAGACATCATAAGGAGATTGGAGTGGTTCTATTAAAAATCAGCCATAAAAGATTTCAAAATAGAATTCATTGGCAGATATAGAGAACTCCTCATGGTGATAAAATCTAACAGAGTGAGAAACTTCAGAGTACAGATAGAAAGGAGACACGGTTGCCTGGATGGGGTATGGAGAGAGGATCAAATATAAAGGTGCAGCTATTGCCAAGAGCTAAGACATGGAAACAACCTAAATGCCCAAAACCAGATGTCTGCATCAAGAAGATGTGCTATATTACACAAGGGAATACTACTCGCAATCAAAAAAGATAAAGATGCCAGTTGCAGTAACATAGATGGAGCTGGAAGGGATTATGCTCAGTGAAAAATAAGTCAGAAGGAAAAGGAAAAATACTGGATGTTTTACTTAGAGGAGGACATAGGAAACCATACAAGGGATGGGTGAAAAAAGACAAAACTAGCAGCAAAGATACATTGGAGACATTCATCTGGGGAGGAAGAGCAGCAGAATCTGTTGGTGGATGTTCCCGGGTGTCCTGGTGGAGGCACTTTCATGGGACAACACCTGAGAGGAGAAATCAAACATTGTATAAAATGAAGAACAATGTAAAAATACATAAATAAATTTCAAAAAAAATATAAAGGAGCAGGAGACATTTTGGGATGAGGGGCTGCTTGCAGTCTGTGTTCTATGGTAGTTCCAGGATTATATTTATTTAGAATATTCATTTATCTGTCTATTTATCTATTATTTATATTTACCTAACTGTCCATCTAAAATTGGTAAATTTTATTTCATGTAAAGATCTTAAGAAATAAAAGCAGGGAGAAAGAAGACAAAGTTAATACACTAGAGTGAATTAAAAACAGAGAATTCATTGCTAGGAGTTCTGTCCCAAGGAATGTTAACGGATTTCTTCCAGGCCTTGGGAATGACAGTAGATAATAACTCACACATTACAGCAGTAACTAGCAACAGAGACATGCAGAGTACTTTTTTTGAGGCTTGTCTTAACATATTGAACAGATATGATGCTTACATTTTTTGTTTTATACTTTTATTTGGCTTGTGTTTATTTTGTTTAACATATATATTACATGAATAACATCACGGTGGTTAAATAGAACTATATTGCTGTAAATTTCCTATATGTTATGGGATGTAGTTCCATTAAGTAGATATTGAAAAATGAAAGATAAAGTATTACAACAATAAAAGTTACTGAAATAAATATATTTAAAGCACATGAAGAATTAATTTCACAGAAAAATATTTCCTTAAATCAAAGAAAGGTAGAAAATGATAAAATGGAATGAAAAAGTTGTGAGACAATGAAAAATAACAATCAAAACGACAGACAAATCTAACCATATCAAATACCGGATGGTCTCACTCATAGCAGGAATTAGAAAATCTAAATAATGGACCAGGAAAAAGACTACTTATAATAAAGTAAAAATCAAAAACCAACAAGCAACTATAAACCAGAGA